GGGGGGCCGGGGGGGGGGGCTAGGCTTTATTGCTTCTTTGCCTTTGAGCAAAGCACCACTCTTCCTCAGCCTCAGCTTCCTTGTCTGTAAAATGGGTATCAGCCCTTTCTCTAACCACCTCACCAAACTATGGATGTGGAAGAAGTTTATGTGTTGCGGACTCAAGCCCACGGGCTCCTGTGCATAAGATGCGTCAGTGTGTGTGTGTGTGTGTGTGTGTGTGTGTGTGCGGGCGCGTGCAGGGGACCATCAGAGCCTCTCTGAATGTTCCCAGATCAAAGTGCCCCTGAGGGTGCCCACTTACCTCAGGCTTCCCTGGGGTTGGTAATTCCCAGGGCCAAGCCAGGGTCTGAGGAAGCTGGAGACACAATCTGGCCGGACAGAGAGGTGCCTGGGACTGGGGTTGGACATGAGTTCCGTCTGAGGAGGGCTCAAGATGTTTCTGGAGCCAGGAGGGCCTAGGCTGATTGAATGTGGGCCTGCTGAGTGAATCTGCGTGTAACTGACACTGCGGAGGGCGTGTGATCCCTACACTAGCGTGGCAGGCTGTGCGTTACCATGGCGGACACTGGCTGGCTCTCCAGAATGTTCCAGTCTCCGCAGTCACTCCATCTTTCTTGTTTCCAAAACCGAATCCTGCCCTCCTGAGAGAAACAGGGACCGAGATTAAAGAAAGGGAAATGAGAGGACTGCTAAGGGGAATGAGAAGGAAGAAAGCAGAAGGAAGGTGTTTTTAAAAAGCCAGATGCTCAGACCAGGGCACAGTAGAAAGAATCACAACAAACGCTTATTACAGAGTGTGCCCGACTCTGTGCTAAGAACTCGATGAATATTGAGCTATTTAGCCCTTGCAACAGCCCTCTGAGATAGCTTTTTTCACCCCCACTCTCAGGTGAGGATGAGGTGCAGAGAGGCGAACCGACTTGCCTAAGGTCATGAAGCTAGTTAAGTGGCAGAGCTGGGGCAGTCTGCTGCCAGCCCCTCTGTGTGCCCAGAATTCCTAGTCTGTGTTGCCTGAGACTCAGGTGCCTTGGATTTAGTCCTGACTTCAGTGTGATCCTGGGCAAATCCCTTTTCCTCTCTGATCTCAGTTTCTGCAACTTCAACAACAACAATAAAACCAGGAAGGGCAGAGAGGACTAGATGGTTTCTCAGGCCTCTTTCTGGTGAAGTGGAAGACAAGAACATAAAGGTAAAAATGTTAAGATAGATTAGAGGGGGGGCGGGTAGAGGAGACACCCCGAACCCATGACGTGTAGGTGGAGAAGACATGAGGGGCTTTCCCAGGAGGTACATGGTAGGTACAGAGCTCAGGTCTGGGTCATCTCAGCCTGGGGGGCTGTGGGGAAGGAGATGGCTAACAGCAGCCAAAGATTCATCACTAAGAACTTTCGGGAGGTTGGAACCACCAGCTAGAGTGGTGGATGAAGCAGAATTGGGGAGCTCTGTGCCCTTCGTGCCCAGGACCTATCAGAGATCAGGAGCATGTTTGCGTGTGTGTCTATATATGTGAGTGTGTGAGTCTGTGGCAAGACCACTCTTATCCCCACCCTCGACTTCAGCAAAGGACATCAGAAGTCAGGCTGCAGGACAGGCGTGTGTGTGTCAATGCATGGCATGCAGGTTGGTCCCTTTGGGAGAAGTCCAGCGTGGCAAGGCTGATAACGCCCATGCCCAGCTGTGAGGATCCCCTGCTGTATCCAGCAGGCTTGGGAAGGCCAGAATGACAGGACGGGCTGCCTGTCCAGTGGCTTCCTTGGGTTTCCTCACCCTACTTCCCTGCAGCTTAAGACACCCCCTTTTTTGCCTCACTTTCCCTTCTCTGGCCATGTCTCAAGTCTTTTCTATTTCCTCTCTTTTCCCCCGCATCCTAATGCCAGTTATTCATACCCAGAATTGCAGCTCCTGCCTTTTCTTCCTATCTGCGATCTTCATGAGTGAGTTCATCCCTCTCAAAACTTTAATGACTACCTGTCTGCTGTTATCTCCCAGCCTTGTTATCTCCATTCTGTATCTCTCACTAGAAATCCAGACCCGTGGAGGCAATTGCCTGTAGGATATTTCCTCCAGACATCTTGTTGCTGCCATCTGAAACTTGCCAAGTCCAAAACTGAACTCCTCCTCCACCCCACCAGCAACCCCTACCTGCTTACCCTCCTGAGTTCTGTAGTTCCATAAATGGCACCACCATCCTTCGAATTAAAAATAGAGTCATCTGCGGGGCTGGGTGTGGCTCAGCTGTTGAGCATCCACCTGGGATCCAGGAGATTGCAGTTCGACTCCCCATCAGGGCACACGCCAGGGTTGTGGGCTCGATCCTCAGTCAGGGATGTGCAGGAGGCAGCCGATCAATGACTCTCATCATTGATGTTTCTCTCTCTCTCTCTCCCTCCCTCTCCCTTCCTCTCTCTGAAATCAATAAAGATATAGTTTAAAAAAATAAAATACAATAAAATAGAGTCATCTAAGACTCTGACCTTCCCCTCCCCTCAATAAACTACTCCTCATGGAATGTCATTTCTAACCCTTAAATATATATCTCCACCCCCTGCCAGACACCTTAAGCTATCATACTCTTTCTCAAAGACCGGTAGTTCACAAAGCATGGTCCCTGGACCAGCACCACCTACATCACCTAGGAATGTGTTAGAGGTGCCAGTTCCTGGCCCCCACCCCACACATGCTGAATCATTAACTCTGGGAGTAGGGTCTGGCAATCACCATAAGGAGACTTAGAAGCACAGTAAAGTCTGAGGACCACTGCCTAGACCATTGCAAACCCACTAACTGGTCTCCTGCCTTCATGTCTCTTCTGATCCAATTCCAATTCCACTTAGCAACAAGGGTGACTAGACCATGTCACCTCCTTACTGAAAACTCTGCTGGGCCCCCCATGGCCCATCTTCAGGAAAAAAAAGTTTAAATACTCTAAACAGCATTCCAGGCTCTTCACAGTTGCAAACTAACTTTCCTTTCCTGCCTCATGAACTACTTCACAAAAAGATAAAGGAGAAACAGAAAACATGTCCTGCTCAATGAATGCTTATTAAAGAAATTATAGCCTTTCTGGCATGGCTCAGCGGTTGAGCTTCAACCTATGACCCAGGAGAATGTGGTTTGACTCCTGGTCAAGGCACATGCCTGGGTTGTGGGCTCGATCCCCAGTGGGGGTCATGCAGGAGGCAGCTGATCAATGACTCTCTCTCATCATTGATGTTTCTATCTCTCGCCTCCTCTCCCTTCTTCTCTCTGAAATCAATAAAGACATGTTTTTTAAAAAAAGAAATGATAAATGAATGGATGAGTTTATGAATCCCGCAGTCTATTGAGCATTCCTATAGGAAGCCTCCCTATGAACATGACCCTGGGTAGCTAGACATAGAACCCAGGTATAATTGAGGGGGTCTTATGAGAAATAAGTGATTTTGCTTATGGCTATGGGGGAGAGGGATGTTCTCCATGGTCTGCTGCTGATTTGGGGGGGCTCCTAAAAACTTAAGGGGCCTATGGCTGCAGACTCTGTTGTCCTCTTTCAGGGCCAAGGGACACCTCATTCTCTGAGGCATAGAGGTGGACCTTGCTTGTTGCCCACTCTCTGGGACACATGCACACATGTGGAGGCCTGGGATATGCATGGGGCACACATGAAGACACCCCTAGGCACATAAGACACACAACATATGCAGACACACTCATGGGAAACACACATACAACATGGGAGCACAGGACATACATTGACACATAGGTGCACACATTCAAACACACACACTCTCATTGACATACTTGGCATATTGTTCTTCCCCCAGGTTCAAAATTTTCCCTCTCTTTTAAAAAAGTGAGTTTGCATTTGAACTTTTATGTAAAGAAAATAGTCCTGCCTCCTTTATTGTTGACACAGCCACCCTCCTCCCAGCCTTTGACAACCTCCTGCTCTGGGCCTGGTCTCTTGCTGCGTGGGGGAAAAGTGGCACAAGGAGGTGCTTAGGCTCCACCTCGTGGTTAGACCTCACAACTGCAGCTTGGGTCTCCCTCTCTCCCCTGGAAGCTGAATTACCAGGAGCAAGCTTGGCCTCTCCCTATTCTGGAGCTCAGAATTCTCTGACCATCCCACCCTAAAGTACAGACAGAGCTCAGTAGGCCTTGTATTATGAGGCTTTCTTCAGTGTTTGGCTCCCCCACTGCATGAGGAAGAGTTCTTTGAGTGCAGGGACCATGAGTCGTTGCCACTTGCTTTGGGGCCTTTCTCTTCTCTTTGCACTTCCCCAGATGATCTCACTCACTCTCATGACTTTAAGGACCCTCTATACTGACAACTTAAAAATCTGTTGCTCATCCAGACCTGTCTCAGCTCCATAGCACAGAATGTACAAATTCATCCTTTCCATTTAGAGCTTATATTTTGTACAAACCTGTTGCCCAGTGTTGCCCATGACAGTGAATAATCTTATCTACTCAGGGACCT